TAGGACCCGGGGAACATAGGTACGCTCCCAGAAAGAGGATGAGGAAGGGAATGAGAGGGAGGAGGTAGTGGAATTTGTTGACATGACTTCGATCCTAGATGAGAATGATGGCTTTGAGTTCGAGCTTCCAAAACATCAACGATGTGCTTGTCATCTCCTCAACTTAGTGTCTACAGTTGATGCTGAAAAAGCAACAGCCAACATTGGATACAAAAAACTGCAACGCTCAACATACAGCAAGTGTCATGGTCTGTGGAATAAGTGTGGAAGATCCTGCCAAGCAGCTGAAGCAGTAGAAGATGCCTGCTCCCTCCAGCTGCTACAACCAAATGCCACCAGGTGGAACTCGCTGTTTATGGCTGTGGAAAGGCTACTCAAGATTCTGAGAGAGAAGGGAGTGCCAGTTTTGAGAGAGATCTGTGCAGAATTGAAGGTTCCAATGTAAATTGGAATTATGTATTTTTTATTTATTTATTTATTTTTGCCTGCCAGGGCTTCTGTGAATGTCCCTGACTTGTATCATATTCAAATGAGACTCGTTTAAAAACCACTTGACCCCTTTAGAAATGATGCCCGAGGTGAAAGTACTATGCTCCATTAAAGTCATTTCATACTATGTTCGCCTTCCTAGTGGTCTAGTTTACTGGAGCTATTAAATATTTTTACCACTACTGTCCAGCTTTCACCAACCTACCTACTACTGCACTCTAGTGGTGGTAAAAATATTCAATCACTCAAGTAAACTAAACCATTATAAGGAGCCGTAGATAACCTCGGAACTGGTTCATACACGCTGTACTGTAAAACCTTGCTTTGTATGTTTTTTAGGTTGCCAGTGTAAGTCCATAGGGTGCCTAAAACAGCACATTGGTCTACCAAAAGTACAACAGCTTAAGTGACTGTCCATTGCTGTCTGACAGCAAAATCCACCGGTTGTTGTTAAAAAAAGTTGTTATCCAACACATCCGACACCTCTCCTGACCGAGAAAACAAATCCATCCAGTTTGAAGTCATATCAGTTCCCATGTTGAATACCGAAAAAGGCCAAAAAGGTAGCACACACAAACTAACTACTGATCTCAATTTCACCAATTTATTGACATGTCAAACATACTACATAACGTTTTTTCATCAGAGCATGGAAGAAAATGGCCGCCATTTCTTTTTAACAGAAGTTGGCAGGTGATTGGTTTAAAGGGTCACATGGTGATTAAATTCATAAGGTCACATATATTTTGGGTGGATAATTACTAAGAACATACAAGTTCATAGTTCTAACTGAGGTTACAGATGATATACTTCTTTATGTATTTTGAAACTTGTTCAGAGGAAGTATTTAAAATTGAAATCATCATTCAGTCCAGCAGGTCTCATTGTTGAGTGCTGAAATCCTTTACAACTCTCTCTGAGAGATATTAATATTTTGAAAAAGGCCTTAGGAAGTCAGATAACATAGTATAAGAAGACTGCTTGACAGTGAGATGTGATGGATGAAATATAGAAATATAGTCTAAATAAACGTCTTCAAATAGTTAAAAAACAATGTTGTACACACAATATGCAAGACATGAAATTACACAAAAACTGCTCCTTAAAATGTAGAGAGAGCCTCAATCTGTATTTTATTTTAACAACATGCATTTGAAATCATTCAAATCCATATCCATATTAACGTATCATTAATAAAAAATAAAGACTTGTTTACTCCAGCTCTTGCAGACAGTATTGTAGTAAACATCTTCAATGGCATCAGAGAACTGTTCGTCTCTGAATTAAGTTCCTGTCAATCAGCACTGTAAAACCTGATGAGTTAGTTCAACTCAAACAGATTGCCTTCAACAGTTGAAGTTTATTAACTCAAAGAATTTAGGAATACAATATATTTGATTTGAGTAGAAGTAACTCAAGTATTTATTGTTAAGGTAACTTGGGTAAATTAAGTTAATTGCACAATTACATTCAGGTAATTGAAATGACACTCACATGCAGCATTTCTTTCATTTCAAGTTATTTTAAATGTGTGAATAGAATTTATCTGAATAGTCACTTTAGTGCATCTTCTTTAGACAAATATTACCAACAAGTTGTATTTGCTATTTTTTTCTTCCCCAAGAGCAAATTATTACATTACCTGTCAAAAAAGCTGACACATGATGAAATGTATAACTAATTGATTATCAAAATGGTTGCCAGGTAATTTTCTGTAGTTTTTTTTTTTGTGACTAACATAAAGTCTTTACACTTGGGACGATCATTACAAATATTTAGATTCATATTAATGATGGTTAATAAACTTAAATAAAAAATAAAAATGGAGAAAATACTTTTTGCTTACATTTTGGTATTAAAGAAAATTAGTCAATTGAACAAACTGGAATTATATCAACAAAAGTTAAAATGCTGCCCACATTTAGGTGCACTCAAAACAACTGAGTTACTTCAATAATTCATTTTTGAGTTGGGTTTAATTCATGTGAATATGGACTTTTGGATTAATTTAAGTTAACTTAGTAATTTTATTAAGATGTTTTGTCAGGTCTTACAGTGAATCTGTGAAAGGAAGCAGGTCCAATCTTGTGTTTGGATTGATGAGTTGGAATAAATGTAAATTAATGAATGAATCAGAATTTATCTAAATAGATTTGTGTAAGAGACAGAACTGTGCATAGAACATGTTACATGTATGTTAAATAATACTGGAAACGGAAAGTAGCTTAACAAGAAAGGGAGGTTTTAGCTCATATTCATAGTTTTGGTAGGTTATAAGGCATTCTATGCACACTGTTTACATACAGGGGCCAGTACATAATATAACCTGTGACTAACTGACATTAGTATCTCAACATAAGAAGATAATGAAGTCCAGTTCTTGAGATGAAGGCTCAGTTTTGTTAATAAAATTATATAAAGTACAGTGTGAATTATTTAACATATTTTTGTAGCAAAATTCTTCATTAAAAGTGATTTTAAGAGTTCATGGTCTTGTTTTGTTATTGCTACATGGTTCAAATATAAACCTTTTTAGCAACTCCCTATTTTTCTACATGATACCAAGTAGCAACCACTTTAAAGCCAATGCAGAAGTAACAAAAACTGCAGTTCCTCTAACAACCACTTGAGGCTGGCTCCAGCAGTGAGTATATCTCCATAAGGCCCCATATTAAAATGTCCAACTTACAGCAGAAATAAACATGTTTACAGCCTGGTACAGAAAAACAATTTTGGTCTCTATAGCTAATATTCCTGTTTATGACAACTTTACAGGGGGTGGATTTATATATAAATCACCTGTTTAAATTACATTGAGGCTCAAAGTTATACATAATTAACGGAATGGCTGCTTTGAGTGACAG